AAACTAGTACTCATTCAACATTATACAATTTAAAAGAATTATTATTCGTTATTTATGCATAGTTCGAACTTAATTACAAACTGTTGCAGCTCAAATTACAAACTTAAATAAGATGATTTTATTCGTCAAATTTAGGTAGGACAAAACTAACTGAAAAACTGACTGACCGGAAATGAACAGGCCTAATGTTTGTAATCATGAACATCAAGGCGTCATAATGATTGGTCAACTTGAATGTAACGTGCTAACCTGCTCAACTTTGCTTTATAGATTCCACTATGAATTCAGTTAAACACATGTGTGAAATTGGTATGTCATAAGTAAAAGATACAAACCTCTTCCCTCGAGCTTGTGTCTTTAACATATTTGATTTTTAACATAGATGATAAATGTATTTTTCAGTAACAAGTATGCTTGTAAGAAACCAGATTTATTTATATATCGCGAGGATTTGTTGAATTATATTAAGCAACTATTCATCAGTGTAATCGATATTTTCCAAATGAGCTATGATCAGTATTTTAAATCAGAACTCTCTCAAGAGATTCTGAACAATTTCTTCATGAGCTCATGTAATGCTTTCATGAGAGTATAGGATCAATATATTATTGATATTACTTGTCCACCCATAACCAGCACTACAGAAGATTTGTATCATGCGTTTTGGGACGTGCTCATTATTAAACCAATTTTTATTGGATACCCGAAGATAGTCTACAACTGAAATACCTCTAAAATACATCGACAGGGTTATATCGACCTGACACCTCATGTTTAATATCAGGTGCCTGTCTCGTAAAAGGGGAGGAAATAGGCCCAGAAAATTCCGAAGATCTAGCAAAGGAGCTAACCTCAAAAATGAAATAGTCATATGGTGATTGCCCTTATATCTTTAGATACTATGCAATATTCACTTAAATAACATATTGCTATTTGTATTCTAGAATAAATCAAACTGAGTGAAAAGATTGATTACTTGCTCACTGGATAAGATGAAAGGGCGTATACAAGCTTTTAACATAGGCAGGAACATTGGCCGACTATTACCTTTACTCAGGCAAAATATACCAGAATTATATCAAGAAGAATTCGATGTACTCTACTGATCTAGATCAAGTAAAGTGATTCAATTAAAACATGATAATGTCGTAAAATATTACTCCACTCTGGATATTGTTTTAAATATTGTGGAACTTTATAACATGCAGTTCTATATATTAATTTCGTTTTGCAATACAACGTGACCGAAGGAACTATTCCGTATATTATTTTTACACCAAGGGGCATGCTATATAAATCACGAACGATTAATGAATTAATTAAAGCTATATACTGTGTTTTGATCGCAATTAAGGTATCTATCATCATCTATTATTCTTTTATTCCAGAGATTTTGTTAACAAAAATTATATATTCACAGTCTCTTCACAAAATGAATATCATGCACCGTGACCTCCGCTGGGAAGTCGTGATAAAATATATCGATAGCGAGAAGTGGTTTATAATTGATTTTAATGACGCGTGTAAATTTCCTTCAAGTGTTCCAAATACGCAATTGGCTAAAGAGAGTCATGCACCCAAGGTTTTTCAAAGTTATCATAATGACAGTGTAGATGTTTGGTCTGTAGGGTACTTGATTCAGACAGCTTCAGTAAAAATTGGAGAATCTGACTAATTAAAAGATTACGCAGTAACTCAATTAATAGTGAATAATAAATATGATAGACCAACATCTGGAGAAGCACTAAAATGGCTCTAGAAAAATTATAAAGACATTCTTAGTGAAGATTTTTTGGAACTGGCTAAAAATCTTTTGATGATTTAATTTTAGCTTCGATTGATTTACTAGTTTATTATATGGCATAACTGTAACAAAGTATTGCTATAAACTATATTTTTATATGTATTATCTTAATATAAAACGTAAGTATTTGCATCAAAATAATTTCGTTTCAGTAACATTATTTTTTTTGCTTATACTTATTTGCATTGTATGGTCATCAATGTGCATCAAGCCATGTAATTTTGCTCACAAATTTAGAACAGTCTAGAAATTGCCACTTTTTATTCCCACCTACCTTTGGTGTCTCCATTAATATCATAGGGTCAGAATTTTCATAAATGCGCATATGATAAAATCAAGCGATGTACATTGCGTTATTGCCTGCAGTTAATAAAATACAAAATGATCAGCGTTCTGTACA